TCGGCTGGTCGTGCCCGTAGAGTCTCCAAGCACCACACAAGTTCCTTGCGGCGTGTCGTGTGGATGAGAGACTTAGGGAACCATTTGCCCAGAACTCTGTTGGATCGAGTAGTCGTTGATTCCCCCAAATGGTGAGTGAAGAACGGAACCAGTCCTTTCAAAACATTTGTTGCCAAGGCTGCGTACTTCAACCGGCTGATGAAGAGATAAGTCCCTTCCATTTCGCCAGGTAGAACCATGATGAACAGCAGGCTTGGGACATTATTCTCCAGGTCCATTTTTCGCTTCCTTTCTGACTCTCGGGCCTGGCGCTGTTGCGCTGGTGTCAGAACAGGGCCCTCGTTCTCAAGAGACAGATGCTTGGAAGTTTTTGGGACCTTCTTCTTTATCTTCGTCTTCCCTTTGGTCGTCACTTTTGTAAACTTGTGAGAGATGTCATCAAGGAGAGAATCGTCAGAGTCGGAATCGGTGTCCACATCGGCAGCAGCAACTTTATCAGCGTGCAATGGCCGTGCCTTGACCGAGAGGAACATGGACAATCAGGTGCGAGGGCCAAAGTCTTTTGTGGTCGCCTGTTTAAGCATTCCTGGGATCTCGACTGGGCAGTACTTGGCCTGGGTAAGTTCAACAAAATCGTTGTGCTTCGAAATCATGGTAAGATTCTCATTCTTCACTGGACCAACGGCCTTGACACTGATTATCCCACGGAAAATCTTTCTTTGGAGTCGAGGGGTGAAGCCACAGGCGTAATGCCCGGTCCACCCGCTTGGCGTGTCTTGCTCTCACGTAGACGTGCCACATCATGCACCCTGGTGCTCTTTCGTTCCACTTGCTACGTCCGTAGTACGGGATGTTAACCCATTCGTACCGTAATCCAATAACAATATCCCAACCAAAATGACGCATCAGTTCTTTCTCGATGGCCTTAATGTTGATCTCCTGAGGGTAAAAACATAAGGCTCCAATCTTTTCAATGTCGCCAAACTGAAGAACAGATGAGTAGCATCCGGCGCCACGTCCCTGATGTTGCAATTCTCCATGCAGATATTGCTGGATCATCTCCGACGACACATCAGCCTCGAAACCTACTCTCAGCCGTGTGCGTAGCTTCTTTTCTCCCGGCTTGTTCGACGTAGACGCGTACGACATGTTGCCAAAAGACATATCGAGGTATCGTGACAACCCGCGGTAATCAGGAATCAGCCGCCGAAGGTCGGCTTCATTGCGAATCCACATCTGCGTGTTCTTATACGTCCTGTCGGAAAGTGGTAGTATACGGAGAGTCTCTTCTGTGTTCCTGAACGTGTCGGACAAGGTGTCCAAAATATGTTTCAAGATAATGGACGCATGTGATTGGTTACCCTCCTGCTGACCTGGGTAATTGTAGACCATGCCCAACTCGACCAACATAGCCCTGCCTTCCATTCCATTCAGGTCGACATTGCGCAAATCATCCAGTCGCTCTTCCAGCGTCAAAGTTCGTTGGGATTTCCGTTTGGCTCCGGGGGCGTTCGTTGTAGGCCTCGATTTTGCCGGCTCCTGTGTAGCAGGCTTAGTAGACCTTGGCGCCGGATGCAGCCGCTTTCCACTGAGTCGGGAACCTACGCTCGGGTCCGTTCCATCCACGTCCATTGCGGTAGCTTGGTCATCAATTGACACCCGTTGAGAGCGTCCTTTCTTTCTTGGTGGAGACGCTAATTCCGGGTCAGATTCATCACCTGTGTTTCCTGTCAATTCGGAGACTGTTTCATCAGTGATGGTGCGAGTCTCAGCGTGGCGACCTCTGCCGGATCGGCTGCCACCAAATTCATTGTCGGTCGGCCGAGTGCTTTCAACGATAATGACGGATTCTTCAGATGCATCATCATCATCATCATCATCATCATCATCATCATCATCATCATCATCATCATCATCATCATCATCATCATCATCATCATCATCATCATCATCAGCATCATCGTCAGTCTTATTGTCAAATTCGCTGTCGTCACCGGTCTCATCTGAATCCCACCCGTCCGGTTGGGCGTACCTGTTAACCAAGCCATTATCTTTGTCACCGATTGGAGCAGCTTCTTCCTCGGAATCTTCATACTCCGGATCGAAAATCTTTCTGACACCCTTGTGGATTTCAACTTTGTCAACTGCGTCGTTCGGAAAACCCGCGATGACTTTAGTCTTCATTTCCTGTATGCATCTTACAGGAGTCGCCTCGAGAAATTCGTCAAACATCATAGTCCAAGGATGGTCGAACATGGTAGCACAGATCAACCAAAATTGGACCAAAGGTGTCTCTTGTCGTAAGCGAGGATTAGAATCGTCACGACAGAAGTACAGGTCATCCTATTGAATTGTCAAATCACCCAAGAGACCAATATCGAAAAAGGAGAAAGGAATTTGTTGGGCGACCTGTAGAGCAATCGCTCTCACTCCCCAGATATATTTTGTGTTCTTGTCGTCATCCTCAAAAATCGAAATCAAAAAGGCCAGAACGCGTTGCCAGTCGTTATCGTATTCGTCGAAGATCATATTAACCCGGACTTCGACCGAGAACTTAGCATAGAAGTCCTGGAAAGGGCTATCGAACCTGGGAAGGGCTTGAGACCAGCGGGCGTTGTGGTCGTCGATCCATTTCGTAAAAACATGATTTCCAAACTCTATCTGAGTAGAGTTCTTGTCATAGCCGATAGCAACAAAATCTTGAGTGGAGAGCCCGAAGTCAATCATTGGGCGAAATGTGTCGATCACTTCTTGGGTTCCGGAATCGTTGGAGATCTTGGGATCTCTATCTTTAGGTTGACGTAAATCAACAGAGGATGCATTTTCCAATCGTTTCTTTCCGCTCTTTTTGGAGGTAGAACCCGACTTAGATTTTGATCCGCCTGCCTTCTTAGCAGCCGTTGAAACAACCTTCAGAGATGTATACTTTCCCATTGTAAAACAGTGAAATGCCGTTGAATTGATAAAACTGCTGCAATTCCTACGTAGACTCTAGTACTTAGGCTACGAATACCGTTTGCAAAGTTCCGATCGATTCGGTGCTTTTCGTTTTCCGTTTTTCTTTTTCTATGGCACGTGGGTGTTTCGAAGGAAGGCTGAAATGCCTGGCGAACTGACCCTCCAAGACCCGACTCGGCCGTGGGCGACACTACGACGCCTCCAACCCGATGAAGCTGAACGGACCCTGGGAGTCATGATGGCCCCACTTGAGACCGGAACTGCACAACACCTTGCCCTGCAGGAGAAGGCCAAGAACTGGGCAGCCAAGTTCCGTCCCCAACATCTACTTTGCTATGATGTTCTTCCCTTGCTCAAGGCAACCGCCTTGAAAACTTGTAGAATGAATTTGACAGAGTGTATCTGCCTGTTTATGCTAACGTGTCACACTACAGTAGGATGCTGCTTACTAGTCTAGTACTACCGCTGGTAGTGCCATAAGAGTGCTGGAACCAAAGAACAAGAAGCTTCTTACGAGGACCAATTTGCATTGCTCAGCCAGCACCAGTGGGCGAATGAATCTCTCGGTATCAATTTTCTAGAACAGCTTGTTGCAGAACTTTTTAACTTCTTGTTACATTACTTCTTTTTTTGAGTATGTGATGCCCCTTTCCACACTGGGCCGCTCCGACTGGGTGTCCATCATGTCACCGATCCTCCAAGCGAGTTTGCACAAAGCTGGGGTTTGCCGTTCCTTTCCCCGCGTCGTGGTCTTTGCCCCTCTGAAGTACCAGGGATTGGGTATCCCGCATCCTTTCGCCCTTCAAGTCTTCCACCATCTCAGTGTTCTGATGCGCCATTCGGCCAACCGTACCAAGACCGGCCAGTACCTGGAGGCCAACCTACAGTCCCACCAACTTGAAACGGGCACCTCCTTTCCCCTTCTTCAACAAGAACCCACCAACACCGGGATCCTTGCCTCCGAAACATGGCTCAAACGGGTTTGGATCGAGCTCGACTCATTGGGCATCAGAGTCGAGATCTCCTCCCCTCCCTTGTCCCTACACTGTGCCAACGATCGTCTCTTGATGGACATCTTCATCGATGCCTTGGTCGACCAAGAGGACTTGCTGTGGCTCAACTGGTGCCGCCAATATCTCCAAGTCACCACCCTCTCGGAACTCACCACCGCCGACGGGTGTTCCCTGACGGCAGCTTCTCTTGCCGGCCACTGTTAGAATAAAGCAAAATGTGCTCTATCGTGAGTGCTTTTAGCGCTCAGAACAAACTCTCTGCAATCTAAATTCGTAATTGATTGTACAACACTTTCACGACAATAGTTCTCCTGTGTCTAGGTATACTTTGAGTGAAATTGTTCCTATTTGATTAATGTTTGGCTTGAATTGATGTTTCAATCACAAAAGTGAGTTCGACGATTTTCCCTTGGAAAATCCCTTGTTTACAGAACTCGATTCGACTTCTACGGCAATTCTGTGTTGAATGCAGTACTTTGGGATATCTTGCATTATTCCCTACTGCATCGTACACCACATCAATATTCCACTTGTACAGGATCTTTTCCTGTTTGTGTGGATACAGATTGTCCGACAGACTCGCGTCCGGCATACTTGCGTCGAATCCCAACATCTTGGACGATCAAAGTCCGATCGCACGTGTCGAAAACCTCGTACTTGAATAGTTTCGTTTGGAACGTAAAAACTCATATTTTGTCATATCCCAACACCAACCGTACCAAGACCGGCCAGTACCTGGAGGCCAACCTACAGTCCCACCAACTCGAAACGGGCACCTCCTTTCCCCTTCTTCAACAAGAACCCACCAACACCGGGATCCTTGCCTCCGAAACATGGCTCAAACGGGTTTGGATCGAGCTCGACTCATTGGGCATCAGAGTCGAGATCTCCTCCCCTCCCTTGTCCCTACACTGTGTCGACGATCGTCTCTTGATGGACATCTTCATCGATGCCTTGGTCGACCAAGAGGAATTGCTGTGGCTCAACTGGTGCCGCCAATATCTCCAAGTCACCACCCTCTTGGAACTCACCACCGCCGACGGGTGTTCCCTGACGGCAGCTTCTCTTGCCGGCCACCCTTCCGGACACTTTGTGACCAGCTACAATTGGCCCCGAAGTCCTCTCTCAAGCTGTCCTCCGCCCCTACAGCCGCCGTCGCCGATTGTTGCAGCCCCTCGGACCGTGGTCTGATTCGCTAGACCGCTGGACCTGGCTCTTCTCTCGCACCGCTTTGATCCTCTTCCATCGGACGGCCGCAAGCCTGGCAATCTACCGACCCATCAACTCGCGTTCCCATAAGACCTTCCGCAGGGATCTTCACCACACCTGGACGGGAACCCTTCCCGGGGACGTCCAAAGGGCATCAGTCAACCTTCACCCACGGACAGCCTACGTCACTGTCACGGGCACGGCCCCGGTAGATCCACCAGACCCGGAGTCCTTGCCAGCCTCGATCCTTCACATCTGGAGGGAATTGGCAGCCGACATGGACGACAATTGGGGATGGGTCCCGGAATACATCTACATTGAAGGTGACAAACAAGTCCTACTGGAGGCACTGGAGAAGGGAAAGCTACGGGTGATCAGCGATGGCTCCTTCAAGCAACAAGTGGGCACAGCCGCAGTCCAGCTACAAACTAGACGGGGAGGGCACGTCATCTGGATCAAGTGCCGTACACCTGGTAAACGAGAGGATCAGAGTGCGTACCGGAGTGAACTTATCGGTCTGTTAGCTGGTATCTTGGTGGCTTCTTGGCTCCGCCTACGCCTACAGTCCCTCGCCAAGCCACGAGTCTGTGTGGCGTGTGATGGGAGTGCCGCGCTTCGCCAGGCCTTCTCGACTTGGCCGCTGTCTCCAATCGCCCCACACTTCGATCTCTTGTCCTCCATCTGCGAGGCCCTCCGAGTTTCCAACATATCCTGGGCCGAACAACACGTGGGCGGCCATGCTGACCAAACCAAGACATGGCGACAGATGTCTTGGTGGAAACGACGGAACTCCGAGGTGGACGACATTGCCCAGGGCTACGCCGACGAGCTGATCGCCACCAACGACACGATCGCCACCAACCCCAAGTTCTTCTCTGAACCTTGTGCGATCTACATCGACAACGAGAAGGTCTCCTGTCTGGCCTTGGAATCGGTCGACGAAGCCGTTCTCCTGCCGGAATTGATGGAATACTGGGCAGCCAAAGGCCGCCTCGCTCCCGAACACTTCCGATCGGTGGACTGGCCGATAGTGCACCGAGCGATGAAGTCTCTGAAGCCCGCCGAACAGCGCTTCATCACAAAACACACCGTTGGGATGTGCGGTGTCGGCAAGTTCCGTAAACGATGCGGTCTCAACTCCAAGAACCGATGCCCCTTGTGCGGCCTGGAGGAAGACCACCTACACGTTCCCCGCTGCCCTTCCGACCGGGCCAAGACCCAGTGGCAGCTCCTACTCCAAGAACTCCAAGAATGGTTCCAGTCCACCACCACTGCTACACCCATCGCCCAATTCCTTGGGGCCCTTCTTTGCACCATCCGCACCCCTAACAACCAGCCTCAAACAGAGACTCCGTGGTACCGCCTACACGGAATGTCTTCTTCCGCCCTCACCCAAGTCTGTGAGGCTCAACTCCGCCTGGGCCCCCAATGTCTCCTTGAAGGCCTTCTTGTCCACGGCTGGGCCGACCTCCAGCAACAATTCTACCGCTCTCGCGGTAGTCGCCGATCCGGTAACCTGTGGGCTGCCAATCTATCTTGACAGCTCATCCTTATCTGTAAAGGCATGTGGAAGCATCGCAATGATGTCTTTCATTCTGATGACAACATCGTCAACCAACAGCGCGCGACTGCTCTTGATCAACGCATCCACGAAGAGTTTGACATGGGTCTTCGCGACCTGCCTCGGAACCTTCGCCCTGCCATCCGTCGATCCCGCCTTGTAGAAGTCCTCCGACTCCACCTGGCGGACAAGGAGGAATGGGTCCTCGTCATCTCCGAAGCCCGCCGCAAAATCAGACGATCTCTTGCAGGCAGGCGACGATTGATGTGGGAACTGACCCACCCTACTCCTCGCCCAGCAGCGCCCTGACTTACTTGTCTACATATTTACCCAAGTGATTCTGGTACCGGTACATCACAAGCCACACGTACCCCAGTCTAACACATACATATTCTCCAACCCACCTCGCGTGGGAGAGCCGATCGTCCCTTGACACTTTCGACTTGCGAGCAACGTTCCTCTCTTGAACGCCTCCACGTGGTTCAAACTTTGTTGACCAAAAGCAACCTAGTTCCTGGCCTCTACAGCCGTATTACACCGGCAGTTGGATACTCTAGAAGTAGCATAATACCAATTAATGATTCAGTTATATATATACTTCTTTAGTTCCGGAATCGTTGGAGATCTTGGGATCTCTGTCTTTAGGTTGACGTAAATCAACAGAGGATGCATTTTCCAATCGTTTCTTTCCGCTCTTTTTGGAGGTAGAACCCGACTTAGATTTTGATCCGCCTGCCTTCTTAGCAGCCGTTGAAACAACCTTCAGAGATGTATACTTTCCCATTGTAGAACAGTGAAATGCCGTTGAATTGATAAAACTGCTGCAGTTTCTACGTAGACTCTAGTACTTAGGTTACGAACACCGTTTGCAAGTTCCGATCGATTCCGTGCTTTTCGTTTTCCGTTTTTCTTTTTCTATAAACACTTCTTAAGTAGAGGGAGAACCTGGCTCGCCATGGCGCAAGATTGCAGAACGTCAACGAACACGTGACGAAGATTCCGCGAGACGGCCAATAAGAACGGGATGCTATCGACGAAGAAGATATCGGCACACATAATTATCTGACTATTAGCTCTAAGTATGGAGTCCGGTGGCAGAATTCGTCTTCCGGATGGAACGGCATTTGGTCGCCTGCAAACAGTTTTCCCACGGAGTGCATGAATGTCAGGTCCATAAGCGCGGATCATCTTCTTCGCATCTTCTTCTGTTATTGGCACGTCCGGTATCTGACGATACTTTAGCATGCGTAGGAAGTTCTCAAAAGATGGTCGCCCTACGTCAGCATAGACCTCGCGAGCCCTCGCAATTCGCATTTGTTGACGTGCAGAGAAAGCTTTTAGATTCTCAGCTACCGTGGCATTAAGTATTTCGTGTGTTTGGCGTTCGATGCTCGACAAAACTTTTTTGCTCTCGGGGAAACGCTTAAACGTCTCACTTAAATCGCCTTCTGGATCGAAATAGAATAGTCCGGTCCCGGAGGGGCGGAAATGCACCTTTCTGCGCGTTCGACCAGTACCATTGCGTAGGCAATGTACCGTGAAGCTACGTGACTGACAAGAGTTCAATGTCACATGGTGCGCGTCTAGGAGGTCCCGGAACGAAATGATGTTTGCGAGGCAATCCGGATGGAAGGCAACCCAGTTGGATTTCGGTTCTGGCGGACATCAGACAAGCGACAGGCTTGTTGTCGTCCAAACCGATTGACAACTTTTTGGCCCATAAAGCCATCATTGCCAACCAGCCGTGCCAACATGCGACCCATCAAGTCGTCATGTAGAGGCACCGACCATAGCGATCTCCGATCCGCCTAATAGGAAATAATCATCTCTACAGGAAATAACTATTCTAAAAGACTTGTTATCTACATGGAATGGGCAAAGCAAAAGCCTTGCACGAAAACTCAAATTTCCCAAACCTTTACTGGATGTTTGCAATCCAGAAAGGCCGGTACAAAATCCACGTACAGAACTCCCGCAGGATTCAGTCTGGGATTTTTGTGGCGCTCAGACGTTTGATAGTCCAAGCCCACAATTCCATGTTTTCAGATTCCCTGCAAAAACCGACTCATAGGAATCCCCCGAATAAACGGACCAAAACGGACATTTGTCCGTCTGTCCGATCGGACGTGTCGAACTGCTTCCATCAAGGAGTTTCCAATGAATGGTCTCCAAGAGAGCAATTTCAACAGTCGATCCATTTCGTAAAAACGTGATTTCCAAACTCTATCTGAGTAGAGTTCTTGTCATAGCCGATAGCGACTAAATCTTGAGTGGAGAGCCCGAAGTCAATCAGTGGGCGCAATGTGTCGATCACTTCTTGAATTCCGGAATCGTCGGAGATCTTGGGATCTCTATCTTTAGGTTGACGTAAATCAACAGAGGATGCATTTTCCAATCGTTTCTTTCCGCTCTTTTTGGAGGTAGAACCCGACTTAGATTTTGATCCGCCTGCCTTCTTAGCAGCCGTTGAAACAACCTTCAGAGATGTATACTTTCCCATTGTAGAACAGTGAAATGCCGTTGAATTGATAAAACTGCTGCAGTTTCTACGTAGACTCTAGTACTTAGGTTACGAACACCGTTTGCAAGTTCCGATCGATTCCGTGCTTTTCGTTTTCCGTTTTTCTTTTTCTATAAACACTTCTTAAGTAGAGGGAGAACCTGGCTCGCCATGGCGCAAGATTGCAGAACGTCAACGAACACGTGACGAAGATTCCGCGAGACGGCCAATAAGAACGGGATGCTATCGACGAAGAAGATATCGGCACACATAATTATCTGACTATTAGCTCTAAGTATGGAGTCCGGTGGCAGAATTCGTCTTCCGGATGGAACGGCATTTGGTCGCCTGCAAACAGTTTTCCCACGGAGTGCATGAATGTCAGGTCCATAAGCGCGGATCATCTTCTTCGCATCTTCTTCTGTTATTGGCACGTCCGGTATCTGACGATACTTTAGCATGCGTAGGAAGTTCTCAAAAGATGGTCGCCCTACGTCAGCATAGACCTCGCGAGCCCTCGCAATTCGCATTTGTTGACGTGCAGAGAAAGCTTTTAGATTCTCAGCTACCGTGGCATTAAGTATTTCGTGTGTTTGGCGTTCGATGCTCGACAAAACTTTTTTGCTCTCGGGGAAACGCTTAAACGTCTCACTTAAATCGCCTTCTGGATCGAAATAGAATAGTCCGGTCCCGGAGGGGCGGAAATGCACCTTTCTGCGCGTTCGACCAGTACCATTGCGTAGGCAATGTACCGTGAAGCTACGTGACTGACAAGAGTTCAATGTCACATGGTGCGCGTCTAGGAGGTCCCGGAACGAAATGATGTTTGCGAGGCAATCCGGATGGAAGGCAACCCAGTTGGATTTCGGTTCTGGCGGACATCAGACAAGCGACAGGCTTGTTGTCGTCCAAACCGATTGACAACTTTTTGGCCCATAAAGCCATCATTGCCAACCAGCCGTGCCAACATGCGACCCATCAAGTCGTCATGTAGAGGCACCGACCATAGCGATCTCCGATCCGCCTAATAGGAAATAATCATCTCTACAGGAAATAACTATTCTAAAAGACTTGTTATCTACATGGAATGGGCAAAGCAAAAGCCTTGCACGAAAACTCAAATTTCCCAAACCTTTACTGGATGTTTGCAATCCAGAAAGGCCGGTACAAAATCCACGTACAGAACTCCCGCAGGATTCAGTCTGGGATTTTTGTGGCGCTCAGACGTTTGATAGTCCAAGCCCACAATTCCATGTTTTCAGATTCCCTGCAAAAACCGACTCATAGGAATCCCCCGAATAAACGGACCAAAACGGACATTTGTCCGTCTGTCCGATCGGACGTGTCGAACTGCTTCCATCAAGGAGTTTCCAATGAATGGTCTCCAAGAGAGCAATTTCAACAGTCGATCCATTTCGTAAAAACGTGATTTCCAAACTCTATCTGAGTAGAGTTCTTGTCATAGCCGATAGCGACTAAATCTTGAGTGGAGAGCCCGAAGTCAATCAGTGGGCGCAATGTGTCGATCACTTCTTGAATTCCGGAATCGTCGGAGATCTTGGGATCTCTATCTTTAGGTTGACGTAAATCAACAGAGGATGCATTTTCCAATCGTTTCTTTCCGCTCTTTTTGGAGGTAGAACCCGACTTAGATTTTGATCCGCCTGCCTTCTTAGCAGCCGTTGAAACAACCTTCAGAGATGTATACTTTCCCATTGTAGAACAGTGAAATGCCGTTGAATTGATAAAACTGCTGCAGTTTCTACGTAGACTCTAGTACTTAGGTTACGAACACCGTTTGCAAGTTCCGATCGATTCCGTGCTTTTCGTTTTCCGTTTTTCTTTTTCTATAAACACTTCTTAAGTAGAGGGAGAACCTGGCTCGCCATGGCGCAAGATTGCAGAACGTCAACGAACACGTGACGAAGATTCCGCGAGACGGCCAATAAGAACGGGATGCTATCGACGAAGAAGATATCGGCACACATAATTATCTGACTATTAGCTCTAAGTATGGAGTCCGGTGGCAGAATTCGTCTTCCGGATGGAACGGCATTTGGTCGCCTGCAAACAGTTTTCCCACGGAGTGCATGAATGTCAGGTCCATAAGCGCGGATCATCTTCTTCGCATCTTCTTCTGTTATTGGCACGTCCGGTATCTGACGATACTTTAGCATGCGTAGGAAGTTCTCAAAAGATGGTCGCCCTACGTCAGCATAGACCTCGCGAGCCCTCGCAATTCGCATTTGTTGACGTGCAGAGAAAGCTTTTAGATTCTCAGCTACCGTGGCATTAAGTATTTCGTGTGTTTGGCGTTCGATGCTCGACAAAACTTTTTTGCTCTCGGGGAAACGCTTAAACGTCTCACTTAAATCGCCTTCTGGATCGAAATAGAATAGTCCGGTCCCGGAGGGGCGGAAATGCACCTTTCTGCGCGTTCGACCAGTACCATTGCGTAGGCAATGTACCGTGAAGCTACGTGACTGACAAGAGTTCAATGTCACATGGTGCGCGTCTAGGAGGTCCCGGAACGAAATGATGTTTGCGAGGCAATCCGGATGGAAGGCAACCCAGTTGGATTTCGGTTCTGGCGGACATCAGACAAGCGACAGGCTTGTTGTCGTCCAAACCGATTGACAACTTTTTGGCCCATAAAGCCATCATTGCCAACCAGCCGTGCCAACATGCGACCCATCAAGTCGTCATGTAGAGGCACCGACCATAGCGATCTCCGATCCGCCTAATAGGAAATAATCATCTCTACAGGAAATAACTATTCTAAAAGACTTGTTATCTACATGGAATGGGCAAAGCAAAAGCCTTGCACGAAAACTCAAATTTCCCAAACCTTTACTGGATGTTTGCAATCCAGAAAGGCCGGTACAAAATCCACGTACAGAACTCCCGCAGGATTCAGTCTGGGATTTTTGTGGCGCTCAGACGTTTGATAGTCCAAGCCCACAATTCCATGTTTTCAGATTCCCTGCAAAAACCGACTCATAGGAATCCCCCGAATAAACGGACCAAAACGGACATTTGTCCGTCTGTCCGATCGGACGTGTCGAACTGCTTCCATCAAGGAGTTTCCAATGAATGGTCTCCAAGAGAGCAATTTCAACAGTCGATCCATTTCGTAAAAACGTGATTTCCAAACTCTATCTGAGTAGAGTTCTTGTCATAGCCGATAGCGACTAAATCTTGAGTGGAGAGCCCGAAGTCAATCAGTGGGCGCAATGTGTCGATCACTTCTTGAATTCCGGAATCGTCGGAGATCTTGGGATCTCTATCTTTAGGTTGACGTAAATCAACAGAGGATGCATTTTCCAATCGTTTCTTTCCGCTCTTTTTGGAGGTAGAACCCGACTTAGATTTTGATCCGCCTGCCTTCTTAGCAGCCGTTGAAACAACCTTCAGAGATGTATACTTTCCCATTGTAGAACAGTGAAATGCCGTTGAATTGATAAAACTGCTGCAGTTTCTACGTAGACTCTAGTACTTAGGTTACGAACACCGTTTGCAAGTTCCGATCGATTCCGTGCTTTTCGTTTTCCGTTTTTCTTTTTCTATAAACACTTCTTAAGTAGAGGGAGAACCTGGCTCGCCATGGCGCAAGATTGCAGAACGTCAACGAACACGTGACGAAGATTCCGCGAGACGGCCAATAAGAACGGGATGCTATCGACGAAGAAGATATCGGCACACATAATTATCTGACTATTAGCTCTAAGTATGGAGTCCGGTGGCAGAATTCGTCTTCCGGATGGAACGGCATTTGGTCGCCTGCAAACAGTTTTCCCACGGAGTGCATGAATGTCAGGTCCATAAGCGCGGATCATCTTCTTCGCATCTTCTTCTGTTATTGGCACGTCCGGTATCTGACGATACTTTAGCATGCGTAGGAAGTTCTCAAAAGATGGTCGCCCTACGTCAGCATAGACCTCGCGAGCCCTCGCAATTCGCATTTGTTGACGTGCAGAGAAAGCTTTTAGATTCTCAGCTACCGTGGCATTAAGTATTTCGTGTGTTTGGCGTTCGATGCTCGACAAAACTTTTTTGCTCTCGGGGAAACGCTTAAACGTCTCACTTAAATCGCCTTCTGGATCGAAATAGAATAGTCCGGTCCCGGAGGGGCGGAAATGCACCTTTCTGCGCGTTCGACCAGTACCATTGCGTAGGCAATGTACCGTGAAGCTACGTGACTGACAAGAGTTCAATGTCACATGGTGCGCGTCTAGGAGGTCCCGGAACGAAATGATGTTTGCGAGGCAATCCGGATGGAAGGCAACCCAGTTGGATTTCGGTTCTGGCGGACATCAGACAAGCGACAGGCTTGTTGTCGTCCAAACCGATTGACAACTTTTTGGCCCATAAAGCCATCATTGCCAACCAGCCGTGCCAACATGCGACCCATCAAGTCGTCATGTAGAGGCACCGACCATAGCGATCTCCGATCCGCCTAATAGGAAATAATCATCTCTACAGGAAATAACTATTCTAAAAGACTTGTTATCTACATGGAATGGGCAAAGCAAAAGCCTTGCACGAAAACTCAAATTTCCCAAACCTTTACTGGATGTTTGCAATCCAGAAAGGCCGGTACAAAATCCACGTACAGAACTCCCGCAGGATTCAGTCTGGGATTTTTGTGGCGCTCAGACGTTTGATAGTCCAAGCCCACAATTCCATGTTTTCAGATTCCCTGCAAAAACCGACTCATAGGAATCCCCCGAATAAACGGACCAAAACGGACATTTGTCCGTCTGTCCGATCGGACGTGTCGAACTGCTTCCATCAAGGAGTTTCCAATGAATGGTCTCCAAGAGAGCAATTTCAACAGTCGATCCATTTCGTAAAAACGTGATTTCCAAACTCTATCTGAGTAGAGTTCTTGTCATAGCCGATAGCGACTAAATCTTGAGTGGAGAGCCCGAAGTCAATCAGTGGGCGCAATGTGTCGATCACTTCTTGAATTCCGGAATCGTCGGAGATCTTGGGATCTCTATCTTTAGGTTGACGTAAATCAACAGAGGATGCATTTTCCAATCGTTTCTTTCCGCTCTTTTTGGAGGTAGAACCCGACTTAGATTTTGATCCGCCTGCCTTCTTAGCAGCCGTTGAAACAACCTTCAGAGATGTATACTTTCCCATTGTAGAACAGTGAAATGCCGTTGAATTGATAAAACTGCTGCGGTTTCTACGTGGACTCTAGTACTTAGGTTACGAACACCGTTTGCAAGTTCCGATCGATTCCGTGCTTTTCGTTTTCCGTTTTTCTTTTTCTATAGTCTCTTACAGACTCAGAAGACAAGTCTCCGTATTCACATCTGCAATCGACCAACTTCGGTTGGTCATTTTGCTGATTGTTGAATACGGCGGTAAACGGATTTAAGAAGGTCAAGGGAGTTTAAAAGTCTATAGAAAAGAGACCACTCCTTGTTCCAATTTGTTGGGACCTTCGCTTCTGTTCTGACCTGCAAGACGTTCAAGAAAACCAGGAAAGCCTGCCAGCAATCCTTGGGACTAGTGTGACCGTAGGGTATCCACTAGTACGGAACGTCAATTCCTTGACCCCTTTTCGTTAGGGATTTACTCGACCGACCTTTGCACCTAAGAAGTTTTGGGACAGGCATCGTCCCTAGAGTCTTCGCTCTCGTGAGAGGACTCTTCCCCTACTTTTCCACCCCACAACAACAAACCAGAAATGCCAACTACTCGGAGCGGTATGAACTCTACACCCGCTCCTCCTGCCGGTGCTGCCAACCAACCTGTCAGCCTTGCTACTTCAACTGTTGGCAATACTGCCGGTACGCCTGCCAATGCTACCGCGCCACCTGGTCGTACCCTTGCAAGCCTTGAGTTTGCTGTCGCAACCCTCTTTCGGGAGCCCCTAGACAGCCCACTCATGCTTGCCCTTCGTCGTGATGGTAGCAACTGTCTCATGGATCTCCTCTCCTTCTCTGAGGATGAAGTCCGTGAACTAAAATATGATGCACCTATCATCGACGGACATGGGGCGGATACTGGCCAAACTGAGCTTAAACAGCTTGAGCGGCCCCGTCGTGGTACCTTTCGGGCTTTACTTGGATATGCTCACCTTCGCCAACACATCCATCGCGATCCGATCACCGCAGAAAATTGCATGGACATTGACGTACAAGCATTCCAAAACTATCGATGTAGTGGTGATTTTATAGCTTTTAATTTTAGATCTAAGTTACCACCACCTCTTGTTCCCAAACCTGCTCATCGCCAACCTGTTGACTCGTCGTCCGCTACTCTCCTTCCAACACAGAAGGAGACAAGTTCAGACAGTCACCTAGCCACCGTACGCAACGAATTTGCACCCAAACATGGGGAGTTACAACGGCCAATGAGCGACGAATCAGACCGCCAATCTACAGTAGACGTAAAAAGTAATCAATATAGTGACACTACTAGTCCTACTACTAATGATTCTTCCGCTCTACAACCTAGTATTTGCACCTCTGATGGTATCAATATACTCACTGGTGGTCGTGCTGATCAACTTATTAGCACACCAAGCACCATGAGTAGACTGACACTGGACAAACTTGACATCACCCATCATGTCACATTCGACTCCAAGCTTGAATGGGACCAAACTCTATTGGATCCCAACATTGACAAGCTAGGCAAACAAATCTTCCATTCTAAAATCGATCGCAACTCAAACTATTTTAGTCTTGAATGGGACCAAACCTTATTGGACCCACATAATGGTGATCTTGCGAACTTGTCCAGTCTTGAGTGGGACCAAACCTTATTGGACCCACACATTGACGACATGAATGAACAAGTTCTTAAAGAATGTGAGAGTCAATCTGATAGAGTTGGCATCCTAAAGTGTAGTCAAACTATTCTAACTCTGAATGAAGCCTCTGAAGATGAGACTCCCGAACAACTAGATGATTTTGACACTGCTATGGATGGCATTGGTAATGCCACACTCGTCTCCAACCTTGACTGGGACCAAACTTTATTGGACCCAAACATTGGCAATCTTGGCCGTAGTGTCTCTGCCAACAGCACTCGCCACGGCTTGCTCCTTCAGTTGACGGAAGCGAGCATGGGGAGAGATTCTGATGCTCTTCTTCCTGAACAAGATGAGACTGAGGAGTACCCAATGGATTTGGAGAATGGGGAGCAACAGTGTGTGATGTCTGATAAGCTGGCTATCGTACCGGCTACCAAGCATCACATGCCTACACCCCCACAAGAAGCCAAGCAACACGAGCTTACATTTAATGGAGTAAAATATAGATCAGTTAATAACCATACTATTATCTGTTCTATCCAGAAAGTCAACGCTCGTAAACACCTAGCTTTGATTGATAGAGGTGCCAATGGCGGCATTGCTGGAGATGATGCCCGCATCATCCACAAATCCAATTGTACTGTTGACGTACAAGGCATTGACAACCACCAAGTGGCTGATATTCCTATAGTCACTTCATCTGGATTAATCCACACCCAATGTGGACCTGCCATTGCCATCATGCACCAACGAGCCTACATTGAAAAGGGTCAAACCATTCTGTCCATTGGACAAATGGAACACTTCAAGATTGTCGTGGACGACAAGTTTACCAAAGCTGGTGGTCAACAACGCTTGGCAACACCTCCCGACTACGATTCTGAAGATGAAGAACGTCCGTTTGATCTTGTAGGAGTCCTTAAGAATAATAAAGCTGTTACTTCTTTCAAGGAATCTAAACTAGATGACACTATTGATTATTTTGAGAATTTCAATTGTGTTCTTCCAACTGATGGACTGTACGAGCAGCGCCATCGAGCATCTGAAGACCTTACCTGGTTTGACTGTAACATTGCTGATCTATTTGGCCTCGATGCAGCACCAGAAGATTCACCCATCCCTGAGTGTTTCGTGGTCCATGAGGCTTGTAAGCGTCCTTCAGTACTGTTTGACCCAGGACAACCAGTCAACTACGATATTGAGTCAGCTCCTTTGGAAGCCAATTGTTTCAAGGACCTCATACTCGATTCGGACAAGCCTACTCTGAGGCGCAACCCACGCCATAAGGCTTGGACGACACCTCATGGGGAGTCAGATCGTTGTCCACCGCCAAGAGTACATTTCGATGATACTCTGACTGCCCACGAGAGTAGTAGTCAAACCATAGCTACTATAAAGAACTCTACACTAGAGGGTGCTATTGCTTTCCTTACTGACTTTGTACTGGAAGACGACTTGCTCCAACAGTTGCCGGAAACAAGCATGGGGAGAGATGATGCTACTAGTGCTCTTTCTCCTGTACATGGTGGAAACAAGTCAGATAGAGAGTCCGACCAAACAATAGATGAGATAGTCACTAACGAATCTATTTTAGTTTGTACTCTTGACATCCTTGAAGACACTCTAGACTGTACTCTTGACTTCCTTGAGCCACTCGACTTTGATCTGATCAATCGTGGATTGAGCACCGCTAACATTCCAAATGCCACGCTCATTCCTAAGCATTGTACTGATCATGACCGAAACGGATTGGACTCAACGGCTATTGGAACTGGAGAAGCTAAGCCGGCCTTCAACCAAGTAGACAGTCATAATTGTAATAGAGCCTTACCCTTTACTACTATGAACGGACATTCTGCTTTAGATAGTGCAATCAACTTCTTTCAATCCTTTGCCTATGCGAATCCAATAGATGGACTCCATGATGTCCATCCTCCACCAACTTCTGAACTAGCTAGACTTGAACGTAGCATGGAAGATCCTATCAACCTGGATCGCACCAGTGCAACTCAAGTTGCACCGCCAGAGCTTGAGATCTATCAGTCTCACAAGCAACCCTCAACTCAAGAGGCGCGCTTTGAGCTGGTGTTGTATCAATCTCACCAGCAATCCTCAGCCCAAGAGGCGCGCTTTGATGATGATACTCGAAAGCCTGATGGGAGAAATGGTCCACCACCTTGCAACAGTTTTGAGCATGGGTTACAACCAACTGAGGTTGAACTGAAGAACCCAAGCTCGGCTGTGAAGTCTCGTGAACGCGATTGGGAGCGCCTTCGCAGCTACTTTGCATGGTTGCCCAAGCTAGTCATCCAAAAGAACTTGGAACACTACTTGGAAGACTCAACTCAACTAGCTACGATAACTACTATAGATATTACAGTATTGGTGCCATCCAACTTTGTATCTACATCTAGTGCTAGTCACCAAACCAGGGCCCGGCAAATCTGCAGCTTACTACTTGCTGGGAAGCATAGATGCAGCCCACGCCATGGCACCGAATCGCCAAGCTACAATGATAGTATCATTGAGCGGTCTCCAGGCCTATACCACCAATGTGCTTGTAGCAGAGCTAACCGAAGTCTTCACTTTGATGGCACAACTACAATGAGCTCAAGTGACAATACAATCACATATGGACTCACTACAACTACAATCAATGGTATAGATCTTTGTCACTGTACATTGGCAGTGAGAGACTTCCTCCATTGGACATACATTGATGACTGGAGAACTTTGTCAATTGGACAGAAGCAATTTGAACGAAGACTACTAGCTAAGAATGAAATGGTAAAATATATCCACTTAGCAACTTGTCTATGTACCAACGCTTTCTACATGAAGCAATCGACCACTTCAACTGAAGACCAAATGGATTCTGACCATATTGTTGCTCAGATTCATGGGGAGCAGACAACTGGTCCGCAACCACTGCTTGAAGGCAATGAGCCACTCCTTGATGGCTTGCCTTGGCATATAACTAAACAGTACAAGACGACATTGTACCAACTACACATATGGCATACCTTGTTGCCATTACATCATGTGAACAAAGTTTTTCACCTACAAAGGTTTTCTTTGCCTCATATTGATGGACCCAAGGCTACTGAGACTGTTGCCAACAGCTCACCAAGACCTAATATGAAACCAGACAACCAACATGTTGTACTGTCGTTACACCGTGTAAGAGAGGCTATTGCATCCAATATGCTCCCCTTTCTATACACCAAAGATGCTAAACACCAGGCCGATATCCTTAGCAAACGATATCAACAAAGTGGCCGCAGCTACATACACTACTTTTCTGAGTAGATGACACAGCTGACAAGAATTAGGTCCTCACTCACTCACCCATTTGGGGAGTGACAGAATTGTATGAAGAACGGGTTTCACGACTCGGACCAATACGATTCGTACGTTAGCAGTCTTATGGGTCTTATAGTAATTAATAGTAAAATAGATATGATGAAGTGTCGTCGGATGAGAACAGTTGGAACTTTGCGCACCAAGCGCATCAACTGTTCGTCAATTCCCGATCAACTCATCGCGTCGTGTTTTGTTTACCTTGAATTGATTATCTTATCTTCTAGTGTAACTTCGAGCGTTCCCCAAGAATAATTATATTCTGTCAATCTCGGATCCCCCAACTGATATTGTACAGGGCGAAAACGACGAGACCCTTGAACGACCGACCAATCACGGACAGCACGTTGAGTTGTCTTCTCCAGGGTGCGACGAGCACATTCAATACTGGTTCTCCATCGACGAGCAAGTTGATCCGGCTTGATGAGGTAGGATTTTCCGGAAGTTTTCATCGATCAAATCGTCAAACTGTGTACACCACATACAACATTGTTGCTGTCCCCTAAAACTTGCGGTAAACGATCAAGGCAAGCAGCAGTTGGGAGCGTTGAATCAAGTCGAGTGAAAGATGCGAGTTGGTGATACGGTGCTTGA